GACGAAAAAATTTCATTCTCAATTATAAAATGTTTCATTTACTGTTCATTAAAATATATCGGATAGAAATTTTAAATAATTTTTTTAATAATGTTTGTACTTTTATCATAGTTAAATAACTAAATGTTTTAATTCTTCAAAACAATTAAGCAAGTTTTGCATAATCTACTGTTTATATATAATCGAGTTGGATTATTAATAATAATAAGCGCAGAGCCCAAACAGTTAGGAGTTGAAATTTGGTACACTGTTAGGGTACGTCAAGAGAACGTACACTAAGAAGGGATTTTTCGAAATCCCCCACGGGGGAGAGGGAGAGGATTAAGGCTTACCCTGAAGAACTCTGCTTCTACTGTACTATTTTAGATGCAGTTTTTTACGTTTTTGATTGCGTTTTAATAGGGTGCGTACACTAAGAAGGGATTTTTCGTAATTCCTCCCTCGGGGGAAGTGTTAACAATCTCTTATGGAAGTGTTAAGAATGAACCGTTAACAATGGAAATGTTAAGTAAAAATGGAGAAAGCGGCGTGCAATATTAACGGGCGCAGATGCGTTTTATGCGTTTTTGCGGAAAATCGAACATATTTTTGAACCCATTTAAAAGTTCTCTAATTAGTCTGGAAACAGGGGGACTATTTCTTGCATTCTGTGAAAACGGGTAAGGTTGGCTATAATGAAATAACCTATATAATCTTCGTTAATGAAATAACCTATAATGAAATAACTTATAATGAAAAATGATAAATGAAATAACCTATATAATCTTCGCTATCGTTACTTTTTGCCCGAGCAACGCCGGGCTTATTTGCTAGTTTAGTTAATAATTGTATGATTATCGATTTTAGATCGAATATAATTTTCTGCTATAATTCATGTTTTCATCATTCAAAGATATTTTGTTTTTATGTTACTTTAAGTTTGATTGATGGTAGGATGTAATGATTGCCTAATACAACGTCCAAATATACCTAAGCATTCTAATTTAGCAAAATGTCTTACAATATTTTTTCTAATTCCCTTTTATTCCAAACTTTCCATAGTTATTTTAGTAACTACAGAACAAGTATTATTCTATTAAATGTTTGATATTATTTATAGATACGGAATAATAATGCATCTGAGTTTCATCAATGTTTTCATGAATCATGAAAATGTTATTATTAGTAGTTTCCATATCGAAACGAGTAGTATTATTCCATTAATTTGAAGAGTTTGTGCTGATACGACATTGTCACTACTAGAAATTACATATTTCCCTAATACATTCTGAAAATTCATTATTTCTTACTGAATTCTACGAATATCATTTATCCTGCAAATCTTGTGTATTTATACATCGTTGTAATACTTTCGAGATCATGCTAATTGTAAAATGATCTATGAGGAATGAAATTTGATCCATATTCACATATTGAATGGCGGTTGCTATTTATGGTTCTTTGCCCAATCATACCCAATCATTAATTGAACTGCAATTTGAAAAAATTTGTAGAACCTATACTGTACATTCCCGCTGTCGTCTGCCTGTCCTTCCTTAATCTGGAAAATGAAGTTAGATAGATGAAATTTGGGACCAGATATGGAAGGCTTTGGTGGAGTAGACCCCGATTAACTGTATATGAACTTCTGATGGAAATTGATGGAAATCAGAAGTCACGTTATTTAAATTCAAATATTTTCTCTTAAAAGGAGTTAGATAGATGACCTGCACCACTCTTTTGCAAGCAGGAAAATTATGATGTACAGAAGCCCGGCATTGTGACGATGTCTTAATAAATAATGGCTCGTTGTTTGGTATTTCTAATTCGAGTAATAGCAGGCATTTTATGATGCTTTCTAGTATTGAATCAAATATTTCTTTGAACTATTATCCTGAGATTTGAAACAAATTTCAGGATTTTTAGTATTATCTATCATAATACTAAAAATCCTGAAATTCAAATCATAAATCAATCAATGTCATTAATGTTCTAATCATAATTAATCAATCCTGGCAACACTATCTCTTATTACGAAGCCATTTCATTGAAGACTTACAGCTTTACTTTTATGTACAAAATCTCTAATTCGTTTTTTTCTTTGATATTTAATTAATTCACTTGAAACAGCACATCAATTTACTTAAATATCGTATCTATCTATTATTATAAATTTCTAATTATATAATATCTGCTCATGTTCTTATTATTTGTCAATAATAAATACAATCAAATTTTTCTAGATGTATTTTTTTACTTTTGATAAAGAGCAGATAAACGAAGGATGAAATAAAAAATTATTCTGCATATTTATTTTAAAAAATTTTTGTATTATATTTAATAAAATCAATATTAAATTTACCGTGATTTTGGACGAATCAATTTAAATATTATTGTTAGTTTCTAATGATGTTTTTAAAATTGTGATTGATCAAACATTTTATATTTTCAGATTAATTTTTACCTGTTCAATAATTAAAAGAAAAATAAGTAAATAATTTGGATAACTTTGTTAATAATAAAATTATTTCTTACTATTTTAAGATTTTTATGAATGATATTAAACTTAACCATTATCATGATTCATATTATATATGTGTTACTGCAAACAAAGTTATCATCAGATATAACATTATTCATTACGTAATATAGTTTAAATATTGATTAAATGCACTTAATTCAGTTTATTTTTCAACACGGAATAAATCAAACAATCCATCAATGATAATACAATTATCGTTTGAATTATATCTACTTATATCGAGACAAAGGATAATAAAAGTTATTTTTGATGTAATGATTTTATTATATTTTATTAATTATATTTATTGGCAAAATCGAAGGAACAAAAGGATAAGACAAATACTAAAAATTAAAAAAATAGACTTCTGTCACGATAACATTAATATCCCAGCGGAGATAACAATTTTTATTGCTGTTGGGTTTAATAATGTGTTTTGCATAATTTGAAATAACATTTTTATTGCTTCAATTGAGGAATATTAACATTAAGAATTAGTAAGTTAATTTAGCTGATGATTTCAGCTCTTACTTTCATATTTTCGAATAATAAAATTTTTCGTAATTAATGGGATTTAAGAAATTAATTGTAGTTTCTAACACAGTCGATCAAAAATAGAGTATTTGGTATATCATTGCAAATTATATATATAGCATTATCATTTAAAAATATATAATAATCGAATCCTTTCATCCAATATTTTTATTTCAACTATCGCCAACTATCCATAACTTTTCGTTTAACTTTTGTTCTGTCTCATATATTAAATTTTAATTACAGTCGATCCCCCTATAAGATCATTGATTTTTCCGTTTTATCTGAATTACATGTTGTACGAGTCACTTAGATTTTACAAATATGTGAGCCGTTCACAGCCCGGCACACGTATTTGTAAAATCTAAGTGACTCGTACAACATGTAATTCAGATAAAACGGAAAAATCAATGATCTTATAGGGGGATCGACTGTATTACCTTTACTTCTTTGATGAATAATACAAAATTAAAGAAATATATTATTTACAAGCTATTTAATTTCATTTAACTGTCAAATTTCGTATGGAAATAATACAGAGTACTTGCAGTAAATAAATCACGTTGTTTCCATAACGCAGAAGAAAATGATTGATTTCTTTAAATATATTTATATCTCTTCACATACTCTGGCAACATATTTTATAAAATTACACATTTAATGAAGAGGTATTAATTTTATTTTCTGATTCCTACTTTCTAAAAAATTCAGAAATTGTAGTAGTTGTAAGTAAAGTTTATATGCTAAATCTATATTTTTACTTTACTAAATCCAAAGCATTTCTACTTTTTAAAATTTTTTTCAGGAAGTGTAATTTCGATGTAAAAGTTACCTTAGATTTTCAATGCTTTAGAAAACTGTTTGGAAATTAATCTCTATATTTCATTTCTGTATTCTTTAATTTCCTGAAATGAATTGTGTATCTTTAATCTTTGATAAAGCAATTAATGAGAAAAAAATCTAAACAATCAAACACAATCACTAATTCCGGCCATAGCATCAAATATCCCTAAATATTCTTTTGTTTTTCAAAAATGTTTTAAATATCTTTAGTTTTCTTATAGATTTCTTTAGGGGCAGATGCATGCTCTTCGTAATATGATTTCAGAATGTAATTCACTTTGGAATATACAGTATTGTATTATAGCCATCATTAAAACACTGGAATTTTATTATAATATCACACGATTTGACATATGATATTTTTAATAATAAAAACAAAATTAATGTTAATAATATTCACTAAATTTGTAAAATTCACTAAATTGCTGTGAATAATATCGACATAATTTTTTATAATTTTTAATTTTTATCAAATTCCTATTAAATTTTTATATATTTTTCTGGACTGATCCAATAAAACAAATTGTTGAATTAGAATTAACAACTATTTTTCTCGATGGATATTATGATGGTGTGAGATATCATTATTGTTAAATAAATTTATAAGCATTGTTATTCAATTCAGTTTTCTACTTCAATGCGTTACTAGATTAAAAATACTGTTAAACTATAAATTTCAAAATTAAATACAAAAATTATTTCAGAATTCTAAAAAATAAAAATAGGAAATTTGATAAATATAAGCAGCTTAATTTTTTAAAAGTATAATTTTTACTTATGTGATGCAAAGGTGTATTCATTCAATGTTATGAAAATTAATGCAGTATATGAGCTACATATACTTTTCATTCAACCTGCAAAACTTACACATGATATTCTACGATGATGATTATGAAAATGTGATTTGAATAATTCTGACAAATGATAAATGATTATTTTTATATATAAGAAAAATTATAAAACAATCATTAAAGTAATATTTGATAAAAGATTTGAATAAATCATATAAAAAGTCATCAGTTCATATGGATTTGAAACAACCATTGATTTAGATATCAATAGATTGCTATTAAATAAAAATCTATTCTACACTATACTACACTTGCCTGAGTAGAAAGGATACACAATAACAGCCTGCTGGCATATAAAGACCAATTCATCAGACGTCAGTTTCAAATGGAGAGGAATTATTCTGGTTATTGTTATTGTATGAATACATATAATTGTGTTTTTTCTGAAATTCTTCATTATTGATAAATATTCCATCTTCTGAATCTAAGATATCGGATGCAGAATCAGTCATAGATTCTCGTTTTAGTTTGCTACCAACAGTGCCCGGAAGATATGGACAGCTGATTACATGATTAAAATTCTGCGACATCATCATTTCCTGATCCGTTTCTCTGTGATAGAAATAATTGAAATTTGAAACAATAACTGGTACAGGAAGAGCAATTGTCAACACACCAGCAATTGCGCACAATGAACCAACAATTTTACCCCACACCCCAATAGGCGTCATATCTCCATAACCAACAGTCGTCATAGTAACTACAGCCCACCAAAATGCATCTGGGATACTTTTGAAATAAGATCTTTCAGAATCTGCTTCAGCATAGTACACAGCACTAGAGAATAATATCACACCAATAAACAAGAAAAATATGAGCAATCCTAGTTCTCTCATGCTTGCTTTTAATGTACGTCCAAGAATTTGAAGACCTTTAGAATGCCTAGAAAGCTTAAATATTCGAAAGACTCTGACAAGACGAATGACTCTCAGAATAGCCAGAGACATTGCCTGATTATTTCCACTTCGGTCTTTCACAGTAAGGGGTGTTTGAAGGTCTTTCTGTTCTGCCACAACAGTAGCTAATGTGATGAAATAAGGAATGATGGCAACTAAATCAATGCTATTCATCGGATCTTTAAAAAAGGCTAGTTTATCAGGACAGGCTAAAAAACGTACTAGTAATTCAAAAGTAAACCAAACAATACAACACGTTTCTATAATGAAGAATGGATCGGTTGTTTTCGGCACTTCATCCTCCACAACTCTTGTCATGTTATTGGAGGTGTTAAATAGACGGTAATGTTTGAATTCTGGCAAGGTTTCCAAACAAAAGATAAAGATGGACGCGAGAATAACAATTACTGATATAATAGCTACAATTCTGGCACCTTGCGAACTCTCTGGATATTCAAACAATAGCCACAGTTTTTTATTCCACTCAGTTTTAGGAAGTGGTTTTTCTTCTTCTTTTATAAAACCTTCATCTTCACGAAATTTATTAAGAGCTAATTCACCTAATTCATAGAATTTGATTTCCTCCGAAAATACATCCAAAGGGACGTTAACTGGTCTCCTGAGCCTTCCTCCACTTTGATAATAATATAAAATGGCATCAAAGCTCGGCCTGTTTCTGTCGAAGAAATATTCATTTCTCAATGGATCGAAATAGCGAATTCTTCGAGTGGGATCACCCAAAAGACTGTCGGGAAATTGATTGAGAGTTCTTAGTTGTGTTTCGAACCTTAGTCCGCTGACGTTGATGACCACTCTTTCGCAGAAGTCGTGATCATGGGGAATGGGTTCGAAGGCAGGCATCGTTGGCGAGGACACTTGGTCGTTGGACGGGATCTGTTGTCCATCATTTCCTCTGACATCCTCGCTGCTCAACTTGGGAAGTGACCTAAGGGAATGAACAGACATATTAGAAGTTGATTAGAAAGCATTATCAGCCTCCATTTGGAGCATGTAGGTGAAGTACATGGATAAAGATGACGTATGCAATTCGTATGTTGAAGATGAAGAACGGGGAAAGGCCCCCAATTTTATATTTTTTGCACTATCTTAGTCTGAAAATTTTTATTTAGATATGTGAAATTTGTGTTTTGTGAAATAAAAATCAAATAAGGGTTATAGCAGATATTTTATTATAGTATGCTGATTACTGATAAAATATGATGAGAAATGTAGTGTTTCGTTTGGAGATATATTATTTCTAAAATATTTATCATACTGTTTGCATTATATACAGGATGCATTTTATTTGTAAATGACTGTAAAGTTATTTTGGAACAACGTTTACTGAAAACTAAGAAACTTTAGTTTGGTTCTGTAAATAGAAATTTATTTCATATGAATAATATCTGAAATTCTTGTATATATAATATGTTTAGAAATATACAATTAGTTATTTAAAGTTACTTTGAATTATTATTTATGTTGTCTTATTTCTGAAAACATTTATAATCACGACTTATTTCATCATAGAAAAATCATAAACTTTTATGAAAATTTAAGTTCATTTATCCAGATGTTACTTTAAATATTTTTAATAACGTAATAGGTATTGATTTTCTTGTATGATACTTGTAGATATAATTTCATGTAATTCACAAATTTAAATGTTTTGCTGCGATTATTCAATTTTATTATGTTTTATTTTTAATTTTTTTTAATGAAAATGTAATTCAGATTCGAATCTTCATTATCCATTTGAAATAATTATCAGTTTTTATATTTTGAATTCATTGTAAAAATGCTAAAATATTTCACTGATTATCTAAACGTAATTTTATTCTTCGTTTCAGTAAACAAAATAAATCCATAAACCATTACAGTGAAGTCAATATTTTGTGTTCTTGTCATTATAATTACCAAAATATTTTTCTTGAAAATTCTTTTTCATTCTTAATTTCGTCTTGGTCTAAAAAGCTGAAGGCTATATTAGTATAGATAAATTTTAAATAAATTCGAAGTTATCTGAAAACCAATTTTATCTGCAGTTATCCTTTTGCTTGTTAATCTTTAGATTTCAGTAGAATTTCGAAGTTCTAGTGCAGATCCTTTGAAACCCATAATTAATGAAATTTTAAAAGTTAGGAAATTTGATAATTTTCAGTTTTTCAGAAATACGTGAAACGTAATATTTTCGTAGAATTATTTCTAAGATAATTTGTTTCTCCGCTTCATAATATTTTCATAATAAATTTTCATTAATATTTTTTTAATCAATAATTATATTTCTTTCATTAAACGTTAAACAAAATCACTGCGTTTGAATTCGTTATATAAAATTTAATAAGAAGAGTTCATTGCTATTTCATTAATAAAATTGTTAAAATGACTCACTAAAACCAATTTCATAAATAATTTTTATTTATAACGATCATGCAAAATTAATTCAATTGCTCTTTGAGAAAGATGGCAAGTATGGACATTATACGACATATTATTATTTTTACTGAACCTTATTCACAATTTCATCAGGAACTTTAATTTTAAAAAATATATATATATATCACGCGTTTTATATTTAAAACCGAAATCATTTTTATTATAATTAAAATAAATACATTTTATTAAAATAATGAACATGAAAGATCATAAATTGAATTAATGTATTGAACAAATGATGAAATAATTAATATGCATTTTAATAAATAAATAAGTTATTGATAAATGAGTCATCATATTGTTGAAATTTTTGGAAAAGTTTTCAATTAACTTCCGGAGTCTTGCTGTATTATCTAGGCTTTTACAAACATAAATAAAAATAAATATGAATAATTCTTTTTTATTTTTATTTTTATAATTATTTAAACTCAAAGAATGTAAAAGACGTATTACATAAGTAATAATAATTCGATAGACAAGTACAATTTATTTTCTTAATTCGGAAATTTAAATTTAAAAGAACGATTCAATTCTTAATGACATTATTACTTAAAAATTACATTAAAATTGAGAAAGTTAACAGTTATTAATAAAAAAAATATATGTTTTATTATCATAACTTCCCGATTTAAATATCATTTATAAAAACAGATCTTTGGATAGACAATCAGATTATAGATTACCGATTATACAAGTTTATATACATACATATATATTTCACTAGGTAAATGATAAAACAACCTACCTGATAGATGATAATATATGATGATAATTTATTACGTAACGCATTTATTATGAGATGTGATTTTCAAATCCTCAAACTTTTAACTTTACATCTGGGATAATGATCAATTTTATTTTTGAAACAGTTGTTTTAATTTTAATATAAAATCAACTTTGAAATAATCGACGTATCATTTAACTGAAACTTAATTTAATAATTCGTCAAATGCAAAATAAAATTTATGAATGTTAATGAGGATAATTTTAGTAATGAGTTTCTGCAATACATATGATTTAAATTTTAAGTAAAAATTAAAATAATAAATTTACTAACAGTTCATTTTGTAAATGATATGGTCTATGATTTATGAGAACTTGTAGATGATCTTATTAATTTCCAGCAGTATACTTCAAATATCATTGTCTTTATAAGATGTATTACAAACTTTATATTGTCGATAAAAAAATGTTATCTTGTTAAATAACATTTAAAACCAACTTCCTTACAAAAATGACTTTTGTATAATCTCTTTTATAACTTTATTTTTATTTATATTGTTTTCACTTATGACTTTTTGTAATGTTGTCTTTTATTAATTTAAATTTATTTCAAATGATACTTACATGTTATAGCTCTGCAGTTAAGCATTTATGAAGTTACATCTATATGATAATATTTGAAAATAAAAAAAAATTACGATAAAATTTTTTAGATTTATGCTGCTATATAAAAATCTTTCGAATAAAATTTAAAACATTTTTAAATATAAATAATTAACAAAAACAGGGAATAATTCGATATAATGATCTAATCAGATAATTCATTTTAATGATGATAGCTAAAATATATATTACACAAACTTGTTCATACCTCATAATAAGTGTAATTTGAATCACTTTTCTTCATATTTTCACTTACGACTGTGATTTAAAGGCATATTTAATTTAAATGCCTTAATTATTATAAATACTTGAAATAAACAATTTAGATGAATATTAAAAAGACAAAAGTCAAAAATTTAAATATTTTATTAGTAGAAAATGAATGTTTTATAGACAATATGACATCATCCTTATTGTTAAGACTGATTTTTCAGTCTAAATAAACATTTAGACAATTATTACTTAAAAAATGAGTAATCTAATAGTTTTTATTTCTTTTTAGTTGTGGAATGTTTCATTCATTTTAGTAATTAACTTTTATAAATGATTACATGAAATTTATCATTAACGTCAATTATTGAATATAAATTATCATAATAATAAAGTCCAGTAGTTGCACTAGTCCTTAAAATGAGGCCATAATACGTATCTGTCGTTCTTATTTCAGTTATTACAAAAGTAAAAATTTAAATTTAACCAAAATAGATATGGGTTTAAAATCTATTTTAATCGTATACTTCTGTAATTTTAATATTTAAACTATTAATTAATAGTTTACTTGTAAATTCTGTAAGTATTTTATAAGAAAATTCAGACAATATCGGTAAAACGAACTGTAGCTTTTATTCTTTTCAGCGCGATATCTACAGTCTTGAATTATAATACTACACAGTGCAAGGAAGGGAACATCACGTGGGAATAAACCACATAAAAAATGACTTATTCCCCGATATGTTTGCTTTATATCACATTTTGCATAACAGACAATCGGACTAAAATACTAGAAAGAAGGACAATGTAAAATAGTTTCGCAAATCATGACAATTAGCACCGGACGGCTGCAGCATCCAACTTGTGGTAACCACCATTTGTTTTCTTTGACATTTTTATTATAGGTTTTTGGTCTAACAGACATAAGGCAACAGCAGAACATTTGGCCTGAGGATAAGGCAGGAAACTAAAAATGCAACAGAAATTTCGCTTTTTGTAAATATTTAATAGTCTCTTATTTAATACTGGATGGAAATATAATAATTTTTGGACGCTAGATATATAACTGTAAAGCGCGTGTAACGTGGGATAAACGCGACATTGCCAACAGAAATGGCCGGAGTAAACTAATTATCTATTAAAGCACTCATACTCTATAAATAAACCTTAAAAATTATGAGGTGATTTTCAACATTAAACAATCGGTTTAGTCTACACTAAACTACATTTGAATATGTCTAAATAGGTTACTGTTCTATTTATCTATATGAAACTAGACTGTCAACTTTTTTAAAAATCGTCCTGCTGTTGGTTCTATAGTCTCTTCTCGTAACAACTGAGCACTAGGTAATAGATGATTAATAACTACACACCCTGGTAATTACAAATATTCAATTTTATCTATTTTGTAGCAATTTTTGTATTAAAATCGAAAGAAAGGAACAAAATAAGCGCATTATGCATACACAGCAATTTAATTGCACTTTAGACGTTATAGTCGCAAAAAATATATATTTTGTACATATACGAGGGACAATTTTGGCAATTTCAAATTATCCGTTCTGATAAATTTTATGTTTTAGAATGGATGAGTTTTTTTAGATTAGAATGGCGAGGAAAAGACAGCGATATACAAACTTAAGACCTTGATATGCACAATTAATAAGAACACATTGAAGTTATCATTAATAAGCTCGCCGGTCTTAATTCCTGGACACTTTTTATGTCAACAACTTTACATTCTTCACAATTAGTGACCCTGTGTTCCACTTCCCTGCTTTGATAACATAGGTTTTAATAAGAGCACTTAATTAGAAATTGCCATACTTACATAGCAAATTTCTTAACATAGGAGCAAACAAATGGCGGTTTATTGTTTTGTACAGGTTTAGGAATAGTATTCCACAGAATTTT